GTCTATCTTCAACATTACTTCCCCAATCCGCATCAGTGTAACACTCTACATGTAATGAGCTAGCTGGTTTTAATTGCAGCCCAAAGTTTAGAGTGCCTTTTATGTATCTAAGTACCCGTTTGCAAGTCTGCCAATGCAACTCAGTAGGAGGTTGTAAAAACTGACTAAGTTTGTTGACTGGGAAGCTGATATCAGGTCGAGTAAGGGTGAGATATTGCAGTGCACCTATGGTACTTCTGTAGAGGCTAGGATTTTCAAATAGTTCACTATCATTGCGACTAAGCTTTGTACCAACTGCCATGGGTGTGGAGCAAGGATTGGCTTCAAACATTTTAGTCTTAAGAAGCAAATCTGATGCATATTTAGACTGTTTAAGGTGAATTCCAACAGTGGATCTGGTTACTTCTACTCCTAAAAAATATTTGAGAGAGCCCAAGGTTTTGAGTGTAAACTCATCATTTAAAACTTTAACCAAATGAGTGATATAGCCTGAATCTGATCCGGTGAGAAGGATATCATCAACATACACCAACACATAGATAAAACCAGAATCCAACTTAAGGCTAAAAAGACTAGAATCTAAAACTGAATTTCTGAACCACTTTGCTTGAAGAGCATTTTTAAGCTTATCAAACCAGGCTCTAGGAGCCTGTTTAAGTCCATACAAGACTTTATTCAATTTACACATAAAAGAAGGATGAGTAGCTGATTCAAATCCCATAGGTTGCTTCATGTAGACTATCTCATTCAAGGTGCCATTCAGAAACACATTATTCACATCAATTTGTTGTACATCCCAAGAGTTTGTAACAGCTAAGGTTAGGATAATTCTAATGGTAGAGGGTTTTATGACTGGGCTAAAGGTTTCAAAGTAGTCCAAGCCCGGTGTTTGTTGAAAACCCTTAGCCATTAACCTAGCTTTATACTTTTGCAGGGTGCCATCTGCATGAAACTTAGTGTGAAAGACACACTTATTTCCCACAATATTCATATCAGTAGTGGGCGATACAAGGGTCTAGGTGTTGTTATGAACAAGTGCATCAAATTCTGTTTGCATTGCTTCTCTCCAAGCAGTGCTAAGTAAAGCTTCAGCAACTGTTAAAGGTTATGGTTCAATGACAGGCTGACTTTGTGTAAGATAGGCAGTGGGAAGTGGAGTAGCATCACTAGCAGTAGAGAAACCAGCAGCTAACTTGGCTCTTGTGATCATGGGGTGATTATTAACAACAGATCGGTGTGGAATATTTGTGAACTGTGATGGATTCAAATCAACTTCAAGTGTGCAGCTGGGTAATGGGTAGTTGGAAGGAATTACAGGAAGCTTAGAGACTAACTAAGAGCTATCTAATGGAGTTGAAAGTAGGAAAGGCTGGAGAGAAGGTATTTAGAACTGTTGTAGAAGGGTATAAGGTAGGCTGTGACAAGTCTTTAGAGGACTGCAAGGCTGGTGAAGAGGTATTAGAGACTGTTGTGGGAAGATGTGTATAAGGCTGTGATAGTGAAGTAGAGAGATGACTAACTGTTGTATTATGTGGAAAGGACTGAGGTTGAAAGCCATTTGCTGAAGGAGGATCTGGAGGAGGAGTAGAATTAGCTGGAGAACAGGAATTATGAACAACAACACATGGAAATTTGAAAGAGTTTGGTGTGTAGGAAATGACTAAAGGATCAGACTTATAATTAGACACATCAGCACCAGAATCAAGACCAAAAACACCAGCAGTGTAATCAAACTTATTATCTAAAAAAGGAAACTCGATTTCATTGAACTTAACACTAGGAGAAATAAAAAAATTTCCATCAGCTCGTAGACACTTATACCCTTTGTGTAGCAAACTATAACCAACAAACACACACTTAGAAGAATGAAAATCAAACTTATGACTATTGAAATTGTGAAGAAAAGGAAAACAAGCACAACCAAAGACTCGAAGACTATCATAAGAAGGAATTTGCTTGAAAAGTTTAAAATAGGGTGTGTTATTTTGACGGACAGCAGTAGGCATTCGATTGATCAGAAAAACTAATGTTTCAAAGGCTAACCACCAATATTTTAAAGGCATGGATGCATGTGCAAGTAGAGTAAGCCCTGTTTCAACTATATGTCTATGTTTGCGCTCACTTCTACCATTTTGGTGGTGAACATGAGCACAAGAGAACCTAATTTTTATACCATTATCGTGAAGGTAAGGAATGAGAGCTTTATACTCTCCTCCTTGATCAGTTTGAAGGCACTTTAGTTTGGTGTTGAATTGCCTTTCAGCAAGGTGATGAAACTTAATAAAGATTGACTTAACTTCAGCCTTTGTCCTAAGTGCAAATAACCAAGTAAATCTACTGAAGTCATCTAGAAGCTGAACATAATATTTAAAACCTTCAATTGAAGAGATAGGGGCTGGACCCCACACATCACTGTGTACCAAGGCTAGAGGTTTAAGTGCATGAGATTGGGAAATGGGAAAATTATTTTGATGCAACTTACCAAGTTGACATACGTCACAAAATGTGAAAGGTGGTGGAGACAACTTGTGAAGCTGAGACAGTGATGCAGTTTTGGGAAAAGTAGATAAAATTTGCTGAAGTACATGAGCATAAGGGTGTCCTAACCTCTTGTGCCAAATTGTGTACTGATGGGGCTGCTTACTAACACTTAAACAATGAGTTTTTGTAATGCAGTTCAGATTATTATGCATGCAACCAAAATCATTAGTTGGAACATCATGTGTGCAATTGACAGAATCAAAAATAGAATTAAAAGTGCAAATATCAGCAGACTTGGGATTGTAAGCACACTCATTATTTAAAGCAACAGAGTCAGATATTTCAGAATGAGATGCTTTATTTTCATTATTCAATGTAGAAACAATTGTGTCCTTCTCAATGTACAAAGCAGGACCAGGTTGGTAGCTTTCCAAATTTGATGTAGTCATCAATGACTTGTTATCAACAGAAACATTACAAGACAAACTATTTCTAGACTGGTTGTTAGTAGACACTAAGGGCCTATTGTCAGCAAAGACATTACAAGACAACAATTAGCATCAAACTCTATTACCACATTATTATCTTTAGTAAACCTAGAGATACTAAGAAGGTTTTTAGTAATTTTGGATACACATAGGATGTTTTTCAAGTGTAGACATTTGGAATGAAAGTTACTAGAAAAAAAAGAGTCACCTGTGTGGGAAATGGGAAGATACTCACCGCTGCCTACTTGTAGCTGTTCCTCACCATCATAGTTCTTGCAAATGTTCAGGTTATTCAAGTTGGAGGTGACATGGTCTATTGCACCAGAATCCATGTACCAAGCAAGATCCGTGGGTGTAAAATGTGTAGCTGTAGGATGCACTTGCTGAGTGTGAAGCAATGTTGAAGTAGGATGAACAGCTCCAGTTTGTGAACCAACAAAAGTAGCTCCAGGCTGTTAACCAGAGAAAGCAGTTGTGCCTGAACCAATCTGGACCAAATGAGCTTGACTAGATCCTGATGGCTGTTGACTAGGGACTCCAAAAGTAGAAGAATTCACATCAGAGTGCTGAGAGCTAGAGCTAAAGATTAGAAAAAGCATTTCTCTGGGAGCCAGTATTGGGAGAACTAGTGTACTGGGAATTATGGTGCTGAAAATTTCCAGGATAAGCATTTTGCTGCCCAGAAAAGACATTATGTTGGAAAGATGGATGGCCATTATAGGTGGAATTAAACCTGTGATAGCATGGGATAGCTGAATGCCTTGCCTTATTGTAAACTTGGCATTTAATTCGTCCTCTACCAGTGCCTCGACCTCTACCTCTTCCATAGACAGGAGGTCTTGGTCCATATGTGTTAGAGGTTACATAAGATGGGAATGATGGGGAAGGTAGAGTGAGGAAGGTGTATTGTTGGAAAGGCTGGGGTGAATTTGAGTAAGGCTGAGGTGAATTTGAGTAAGGCTAAGGACTGACATATGTTTGCGGACAGTGTGGATTCCCAAGGGATATTAACGAAGGAACATTACTAGACTAATTATTTTCAGAAACCTTTGCTACATTAGAGCTTGACTGATTATTCACATTAGAGACATTGTAGCATCCTAGGTTGTGAACTAAAGCTACATGAGCTGGGGAGTTATAAAGATCCACTGAATTAAACTTTTCCAGCCTTATTTCATACTTTTGCAATAAGAATTGGGCTTCTTGTAGAGAAATAGTATCAATCTTGGATTCTAACCTAGACGTGAGTGTCACTACCACAACATCATATTTAGGACCCAATCCATCGAGTACATATTGTAACAGATCTTCATCAGATACAATTAATCCACTAGCAGCTAGACTCTCTGAAATATCTTTCATTTTCTTTACATACTCACCAATACTTAGATCCCCTTTGTGTGTAGTTTGCAAAAGGTTTTTAAGATGTAAAGCCCTAGCTTTTGAATCTGTAACAAATTCGTTTTCTGAAGCTAACCAAATTTCAGTGGAAGATCTACACTTAGATACAAATCCAGACATGCACTCTGAAATTGAAGCTAACAACCAGCTTATTATGAGCTTATCAGTTTTTTTCACAAGATAAATGCTAGATTAAGACTTTCACCAACAGTATTACCAACTCTATTGTGACCTAACTCATTTGAAATGTCAGAATCAGAAACTAAAATTGGGGGAGGACAAGAAATTCTACCCAATAGATGGTCCTCCAAATCGTGTGAGCCAACAGTTGAAATGACTTGTGAACTCCAGAATCGGTAGTTGTTCCTTGTCAATTTGGGATTGATGACTTGCAAGCTTGCGGCAAGTGTTGTGGTGGTTTGATTCTGCGTTACAGGTATCGTTCTTCTTAAGCTGTTAAGCATCTTTGAAGAATCAAGATCGGTGGCCATTGACAATGAGTCACTGCTCTGATACCAAGTAAAACTAACAAAGAGAATCTAATTTTGGGAGAAAAACTTAAGAGTAATCTTGATTGAGTATTTGATTGATTGATTACAAAGAAGGCTTAACTCATTTATATACAGAGTAATGAGAAAAGAGAGTGGTAATGAAAAAAGAGTTTACAGAGTAATAAGCAAAAGAGTAAAGTTAATCAGGTGAAGAAGAAGACTTTAGGAACATAATCAAAACGGTGTAGTTTTGATTCTTATGTGGCAAAGTCAACTGTATTGAGAAGTCACTTGGTCAACAATACAAGCATTCATTTATATGTGATACATCAATGAGGATTAATTTCCAAATTTTGATACGGTTTATTTTAATTTATCTTGGCTGATAGTTATAGGGAGGATTGTGGACATGGCTAAATGATCCAAGGATAAAGAAAACAGAGCGAAAGCTAATGACGATTTTATTAGTTGTGTTCCTAATCTAAAAGAGTATACTTGGACTGAGATTGAGGCAGCTACCAATTGCTTTTCAATTGAAAATAAGCTTGGACAAGGTGGCTATGGACCTGTTTACAAGGTGACTAATATATAATAAACAATCTATTCATAAATTTGGAAACAATATTGTTCTGACGCTTTGGACTCTTCATTCTTCCATTAGATATATTTTGGCATGTTATATATGGTATTTTTATGTTAGGCTATATTAAATAATTAATAGTCATTACAAAGGGTAAGGCTAAAAATATTTTCTGATTAGGTGTCAATTCTTGCTTTATTTAATAAATTTATCTCGTTTCATTGAGGGATACCCAAAAGAAAAATAAATAAATAAATAAATAAGTAAAAGATACTAACTATATGAGTGTACTTGGCTAGGGTGTATTACCTGATGGGCAAGAAATAGCAGTGAAGAAACTTTCGGAAACATCAACACAAGGATTTGGGGAATTCAAGAATGAAGTTATACTTACGGCAAAACTCCAACATGTAAATCTTGTTGGAATTTTGGGTTATTGCACTGACAAAGAAGAGCATATGTTGATCTATGAATATTTGAAAAATAGAAGCTTGGATTATTATCTTTTTGGTATGGGTTTCTATTGGTAAATTTAGCATTCATTTTAAATTTCTTCCTTTTTTATTTCAACCCAAATAATGGTTACAATTGTTGATTCTTCATAATTAAATTTGATGCAGATCGATGTAGCCAACTTACTTTGAATTGGAAAAAACAGGTGCACATCATTGAAGGGATTACTCAAGGACTCTTTTATCTCCAAGAATATTCAAGATTCACTATTATTCATCGAGACCTTAGAGCTAGTAATGTTTTATTAGATGAAAACATGAAGCCTAAAATATCAGATTTTGGTATGGCTAGAGCTTTCGCAAAAAGTAATCTTGAATCAAACACAGGAAAAATTGTCGAAACATTGTAAGTTGATTTCCTCTTCATGTTGCCACAAACATAGGTTCTTATTAGCCTTGCATTAAAGGTATATAGATTGTTATTAATTGTTTGTGATCATCCAATGCAGCGGCTATGTTCCTCCTGAGTACCTTGAAATGGGCATATACTCTACCAAATCAAATGTTTATAGTTTCAGTGTTCTACTTCTAGAAATCATGAGTGGGAAAAAAGTTTCCATTTTATATGCCACTGAAAATGGAAAATTAAACCTTCTAGAGTATGTAAGTTTCTCCATTGACCCTTACCAGAGTATTTTGTATCAAAATTTAGAGTCTAATTTGAATTACAAGGTAACTGAGATTAGATATATAATTTAATTTCAGGCATATGAGCTGTGGAAGGATGGAAAAAACATGGAGTTTATGGATCCATCACTTGATGATACAGATTCATCATGTAAATTAAAGAGGTGCTTGCAAATAGCTTTGCTTTGTGTCCACAAAAATCCAGATGATAGACCATCTATATTGGAGGTCTTCTTAATGCTAAAAAATGAAACAACAGATATGATGATTCCAAACAAGCCTACAGTTTTTTGGAAACCGAATGATGGAAACCAACAAAATGATGCTACAGCACAGTCGGAGAATTTTATATTGAGCAATTCTATTAACAATGTAACACTTACAGAAGTAGGAGCTAGATGAATTAGTGTAGGTTTAAAAAAAATATATTGTTGTGATGTGGCATTGATTTATGCCTACGTGGAAGTCAAAATTATAACTTGGGTGGTCAAAGTTATATTGTTAAAAGCAAAAGGGTGTTTGAGGAATTTCCCGAGTGGGATTTTATGTAACCTAACCTAAATTGGTTTGGTCGATTGTGGGTTTGATCCATTCTCGATCTTTCTCTCTTAGTTACAAAGAGAGAAAGGTTGTTACAAATGGTTGAGCTGGAACCTTGAAGATCATTGATGGGATCAAATGATGTTGGTAGGTTTAGTTTGTTTTTTTTATTCCTTTCTCTTTGTGTATAAAAATGCCCATTAATTTCTGGTTTTTGATATGGATGAGAGGTGAGGAACATCTAGGTTTTTTGGGTGTATTATAGGGGGGGTTTTTTCTCAAGATTCTTTGTGTAAAGAAGAGAGCTGCAATCTCTGTAAGGTTTCCTTTTTCTCATAGTAAAATTTTCTCTACTGCCCTGAAGAGTGGATGTAGGTAATCGAATTGATTACCAAACCACTATAATTCCTTGTGTACAATCTTCTCTTCTGCTCCTTTTCTTTATATTTTAACTTGTGTATTTGCTACTGATTAGAAAGTTAGGGTTGCTTGTTTTGCTTTATTCGGATATCTCATGTTCTACAAGTGGTATCAGAGCTAGGTTCAATCTAGGTTGTGAGATCATTTTTTCGAATTTATGGTTGTCTAGGGTTAGATCTAAAATTACAGTTGTGATTTCTTGACTTAGGGTTTCTTTGAGTCTTGAGTTATTTTTGGGGCTTTTACACTCTTAGTAACTGTGAGGTTTCGAAACCTAGATATGTCTAAGTTTAAGGTAGAAAAATTCACAGGGAATAATGATTACGGGTTGTGGAAGATGAAGATAAATGTTGTCTTAGTTAAGGATGGGTTGTCTACTACCTTGGAGGGTGGGGCTAGCTTACCAGAGTCTTTATCCAAGAAGGAGAACAAAGATTTGTTAGATAAAGCTCATAGTACTCTAATGCTAGGTCTGGGGGATAAAGTCCTAAGAGAGGTTAAGAAAATGACCACACCAGCAGGGGTTTGGGAGAAACTAGACTCTCTATATCTGTCAAAGTCTTCTCCTAATAGATTAGTTTTAAAACATAAAGTTTTTGGTTTTAAAATGGATGAAAACAAATCATTAGGAGAAAATATGAATGACTTCATGAAGTTAGTATAGGATTTAGAAGGTCTTAGAGTTACAGTTGAAGATGAGGATCAAGCTGTGACACTCATTAATTCACTACCCAAAATGTATTCAAATTTTGTTGACGCCCTTAAGTATGGTAGACAAACTCTCAATCTAGATGAAGTAGTAGTAGTCATTACTGCTAAGGATGCTGAATTCAAAAAGGAGGGTAAGCTAGATGGAGAAGTGCTTCATATCAGAGGTAAATCTGAGAAGAAGGTGTTTAAGAAAGGTCACTCTAGGGGTAGATCTAAGTCCAAATCCAAGTTTGTGAGGAAGTGCTTCCACTATCATAAGAAAGGGCATTTCAAGAAAGATTGTCCAGATGGAAAGAAGAGGTTAGGAGAAAAAAAAGGGTAATGGCAGTGTAGATATAGCCTCTAATGGATATGAAAGTTCTGATTTCTTGATAGCTTCTGATAAAGAATCTGACTCGGAGTGGATTTTAGATTTTGGATTTACCTTCCACAAGACTCTAAATAGGAGTTTTCTGATGAATTTTAAGAAGTTAGAATCAGGCAAGGTTCTGATGGGAAATAATGCAGTATGTAGTATCTTAGGCATTGGAGATGTTAAGTTAAACCTTCATGATGGCAGTTCCAGATTTCTTAAAGAAGTTAGGTTTATACTTGAGTTGAAAAGGAACTTAATCTCCTTAGGCAGCTTAAACTAAAATGGGTTTAGCTACAAGGCTCAAGGTGGAGTCCTTAAGGTCACTAAAGGATCTTTAGTAGTAATGAAAGGAGAGAGAAAGAATGGTTTATATGTTACTAAGCGGGTCAACTGTTACTGGAACAGTAGCAGTGTCTTCATAGAAGCCAAATAAGACTTCTATATGGCACAAAAGATTGGGACACATTAGTGAGAGATGCTTGATAGAGCTGAGTAAGCAAAATGTCTTAGGAGGGGAAAGAATAGAGAAATTGTCCTTCTGTGATCATTGCATTTATGGAAAAATGAGTAGAATTAGATTTAATGTTGGAAAACGTTGTTCTAAATCTATTGTGGATTATATTCACTCTAATGTGTGGGGGCCTACAAAGTATCCTTCTTTGGGAGGCTGTAGATTCTTCATTAGGATAATTGATGACTTTTCTAGGAAAGTCTAGATCTATTTCTTGAAGAATAAAGGAGAGACCTTTAGGAAATTCAAAGAATGGAAGGTTATGATAGAAAATCAAACTGGGAAGAAAATTAGGAAACTTAGAACAGATAATGGGTTAGAATTTATCAATGAAGAGTATGATAGTTTTGTGCAGGGAAAGTGGAATTCTGAGGCATAAAATAGTAAGGCACACACCCCAGCAAAATGGCCTAGCAGAAAGAATGAATAGGACCATTTTAGAGAAAGTCAAAAGCTTATTATCCTGTGCTAAACTGCCCAGCAAATTCTAGGTAGAGGCTGCCCATGCTACTATTTATCTAATAAATAGAATACCTTCCTCAGCCATCGATTTCAAAACACCCATAGAGAAATGGTCTAGACATCCTACCAATTATAGTAACCTAAGAGTTTTTGGCTGTACTGTGTTTGTGCATGAAAAATATGATAAGTTACAAACAAGGGCTATTAGGTGCATTTTTCTAGGTTATCCTGATGGAATGAAGGGGTACAAATGTTGGGATATTGTAGGAAAAAAGTGCATTGTTAGTAGAGATGTTAAATTTAATGAGGATGAACTGGGTGGTTTGAGTCAGAAAGAGAGTGATTGTACAGGTAGGACAGAGGTGATTAACCTGGACCTAGGTGCAAAATTTTCAAATCTTAATAATCCTCATTCAAATTATCAACAAGAAAACTCTCAAACTCAGGTGGATGAACCTAGCTTAGATGATAATGATGAAAATGATTTGCAAAATTATCAATTAGCTAGAGATAAAGAAAGAAGACAAATTAGACTACCTAATAGATACTCACATACTGATATGGTTGCCTTTGCCCTTCAAGTTGCTGAAGAGATTGATGAGGAACCTAGAACAATTAAGGAAGCCATGAACAGTAGAGATTCTATGCAGTGGAAACTGGCCATGCAGGAAGAGTATGATTCCTTAATAAAAAATCAGACCTGGGTTCTTATTAACAAACCTGAAGGTAGTAGGGTTGTTAAATGTAAATGGGTTTTCAAAAGGAATGAGGGTATACTAGCGGTAGAAGCACCTAGGTTTAAAGCTAGGTTACTGGCAAAAGGCTTCACACAAGTTGAAGGGGTTGACTATAATGAGATTTTTTCACTAGTTGTGAGACATACAACTATTAGAATCCTTTTATCCTTGGTAGCTCACTTTGGTTTGGAACTAGAGCAATTAGATGTCAAAACAACGTTCTTAAATGGTGATTTAGAAGAGAAAATTTTGATGGAGCAGCCTGAGATGTTTGAAAGGGGGTCTAAAAACCAAGTCTGTCTTTTGAAAAAATCCTTGTATGGGCTAAAACAATCACCTAGACAGTGGTATAGAAAGTTTGACAGTTTTATGGTGAGTGCTGGTTTTGTTAGAAGTAGCTTTGATGGTTGTTTCTATTTCAAATGTTTGTATGGTGAATGTTATATCTATCTGGCATTATATGTGGATGATATGCTTCTAACCTGTCAAGATCCTCCTGAAATTGTTAAATTTAAAGGAGAGATGAGTAGGCAGTTTGAAATGAAAGATTTGGGGCAAGCTAGAAAGTTCCTAGGTATGAATATTGAAAGGGATAGGAGAACTGGAAGACTTGTGTTATCTCAGAAAGAATATGCTAAAAAAATCATAAAGAAATTTAACATGTATGACTGTAAACCCGTTAAAACACCTTTAGGTCGGCATTTTAAACTAAGTGCAGTCTAGTGTCCAAAAACAGAAGAAGAAAGGAAGGAAATGGCCTGCATTCCTTATGCAAATGCAATAGGGAGCCTGATGTATCTAATGGTCTGTACAAGACTAGATTTGGCCTTTGCAGCCAGTTCTGTAAGTAGATTTATGAGTAACCCTGGAACGAGTCATTGGGAAGTTGTTAAATGGATTCTCTGATATGTCAGGGGTACACTGACCACTGGTATTGTTTACAGCAGAGGGCAAAATCAAGTGAATCTCATTGTAAGGTGTGTTAATGCTGATTATGCTACAAATGTAGACAATAGAAAATCCATGAGTAGTTTCTGTTTTTCTATATGGGATAATTTGGTTTGCCAAGCTATAGTTACTTTGTCAACTACGGAGGCAGAATATGTTGCAATTACAGAGGCAGCAAAAGAATCAATCTGGTGATGTGTGTTAACTACAACATGCAAATGTAGCAAGTATACTAGTCGCACAAAGTAATAAAGTGATAAGTAGAGTATCGTTCCCACGAGGATAGTGTTACTAAGTACCGATTTCTCTAGTTTAAGTCCTAATTGAAGCAACAATAAATTGGATTGATGGAAAATTAACAAGTAAATACAAATTAACAAAATATAAATGAGTGATAATGAAATTAAAGCAAAACCCAACAACTTAACTAATTAAACAATGCTAAACAATGCTAGAGAATTGATTTCACCTAAATACGCTAACCCAATTCATAGAATCTATTACCCAAGTTCTAATTCCTTGATTGAAAATCGAATTCCCTAAGTTGTAAAACATACCTTCTCAAGCTACATTTCCCTACTTATCCCTATTAAGCTTCCGCACCCAACAAAATGAAGATTAATAGTTCAAAGTCTTTTAAGCTTTATGGAATTCTATCTAGATTTCATAGATCGCTAAACCTATCTCTAGCGTTTGCTTAATCTACGGTATTTATCCC